AGAATAGGCCGCCCTTTGCGGACTCGAGGCACCTCAGGTCGGACAGGACTATTCAAGGCGACATTTGAACAAGAAACGGCACAGAATGGCACAAATAGAATTGTTCAAATTCGACGCCAGAAGAAGATGATGCATGTTGGCCCAAGCAGGCGAGAGAAAAGAAGACCGATGTCACAATGGAATGCCAACAGAATTCGGTGAGCTACAAACCAGTGCGAGTGTGTAGGTGCAAATTGTAGAAACGGATAAAAGAAAATGTGAAAAGTTGATGTGCAGAGATTTTGTGGGCAGGTTGAATTTAGGAAAAAACTATCAGAGAAATAGAAAGAAAAAAAGGTGACAGCTAGCCTATGGGTTCTTTATACCTTAAAGATGTTGGTGATTTGTGATTGCAGCTTCTGATTAATAAAAATTGGGTAAACTCAATGTCGTGGCTGGATCTAGTCATGACGAGGAAGCAGAAATTTTGCGGATAAGTCATATTCACGAAAGGAATTGGCGCTACGACGAGTGCGTGTGCAAAGTGACGAAAGTGACAGCGGTTATGGGATATTTAACTACAGTTGAATATATGAATATATATGTTTTATATAAACATACTTATTAGGTATTATGCATAACTGTCTAATGGCTATATGAAGTGGGGTTAAGGGATGAGGATGCAGTGTTTAAGGAGCCGGGAGAGGGAAAAGAAAAGATGTCACAACGATTGGATTTCCTTCACATGTCACGTGTTTGGATCGTAATTCGATGCAGGGTGAGAGCAACTTTTGGGAAAGCAAGATTATGTGAAAATGCAATGGAAACGTCAGCTCAACTCATTTCTTCTTCTACCAGTCCTCCATCACTATGAACGATATTGGGTGAATACATCTCATACTACTGATATACTGATAGTCACGAAAAGAATACTTAAGTCTTTGGTATAGTTGCAGTCTCCTTTCGATGACTTTGTTTTTGCAACTTGGTCGTGATGTGGGGCGAATTGTTTGGACACACCCTGTCCGAAGCCCTCTGCTACGGTAGTCATCATAATTTCCAGCATCGGACCGTGGACTTGGTACAATCCCGGACATTTCGTCAGCATCGGTGTCGTCAGTCAGTCGTGTCATTCTCAGCACCAAACTACAATTCATCAAGCATCATCTTGTCTCTCTGACGAGCTGTAGGTTGGTGCTGAGAATGGCAAAACTCACTTGGAATGTGTACCAAGTCCACGGTTCGACGATAGAATTTATGCCAACCTGCTTGACTCCGAAGAGGACAAATTGAATGGTATATCGGCACATTTTTTGTTGTGTCCTTTCAGCTTATGGTTGTACAAAGTTTTTACTATTCTTATTTTACTGTGTTATGTTTAGCCCTATTGCTTGTTTCTCAATTTCCATACATTTGAAGCTTTACAAGAATATATGTTGTCATATGGGTGTTATTTGGGCTTCGGCCATTGGGTGTATCGGTATATAAATTGTTTAGTTTTATCAAGATATTGAAGCTTTCTATCCCAAAGGGTCTCCCATCCCCCCTGTTTTCTTTTGTGATTATGCCTTTTATTTTTATAGGTGAATGTAGTAGTCAAATGCTACGACCGGTGACACTAATACTACGATTATTGGTAAAATTGTCTTTTACTTATTTGGTGACGCTAACACTTGCTAGCAAGTTTGTTGAGAGTCTATTGATTTGGGATGTTTCGCTGGGTGCTATTTTTATTTTTTGTTTTTCAATTTTTTATTTTTTATACGAAATATTTATGTGTTTTTTGTTGACGTATGTTTCACACGTGATGTTGTTATCATTAATAGGTGACATGTATCATGTCTTGTCTGTAAAGATTTTTAGCAAATAAGTGATTGTTTTTTATTATAGGGTTATCTTGGCTTGTGGGGTGTTGTGTGGATTAGTTGGGTTGTTCTCGAGTAGTCTAGTTGTGTTGACTGTTCTATGGAAAGTATTTCAATAATATTTATAGTGTCTTTTTTTTTGTGATCGGAAAAACCAATCACCAATAAAGTGTACAAGGGGGCCACCATGTTTTTTGTTATTACTGCAATATCTGGCCTGAGGATAGCTGGTACATGAGACTTTTGAGGTTTGAGTAGGTTTAAAAGGACCGCGGTCGTGACAATCACGGCCCGAGTCGAGTGGTTGTGATGGAGACGGTGGCCGAGATTAAGATCATATAAACAACCAGCCTCATAAAAATGATACGAAGATAAAGTTGGTTTCGATGACTCTCCTGAGACCTTCATTTCGTATGAAAGTGCATGAACAAGAGATTCGTTGCTCGATCTGACCAGATGAGGATGGATGAGTCTCGTTGTACTGCAGCCGGTTGGATTTTATACGATATTCATCTATATCCATCTAGGTTTTTAATTCACAATTTTTAATTTTCTTTCGGCTTAACTACCGTATTTCCCCATGTATAAGTCACCCCCCAATTTTTTGACTGTGAAGTTTTGAAAAATATTTTATTAGAGAAACAAGTTGCAAAGAAAGAAAATTTACAAACAAACAAAATGCAAGACTCATAATAATCGCTCATACACTCATCATCACTGTCTGGTGCATCACATTCCTCGTCTTCTTCAA